ATAAACATAATTTGTTTTTTATTTCATCAGTGTTATCAAAATATGTAAACTTAGTGAGGCCATTGTCCTGTGTTTTGCAGGTCTTTCCTTAAAATAATAAAATCATTTCTTTTTTAACTCTTATTATTCATCTCTATATTCTATTATTTGTTTATATGTTCAATATGTACAAAATTGTGGAGCTTAAGCCTGTGAACTAAAATATCCCAGATTTTTTTGGGTTGTATATTTTACTTGATGATAACTTTATAACACTGAAAAATTATTAAATGAAACTAAAAACCTATTGATGAATTTAAAAATATTATAAAATGTGTGAGAAAAAACAAGTAAAAATAATACTTTTTAAGTTTATATTTTTACTAAGGCTTAGAGCAATCACTACATTTCCACTCCATGACTTTAACACCATCTAATTCAGATATCTTGGTACATTTTAAATGATACCAGATGTCACAAACATCGCAGCACATCGACTGATCACCTCTATTTCCACATCCATGACAATTAGGGCATGTGTCGTTGTTGTCAGCATAATCACAATCTTTTTTATCTGTCTTTTTTTTTATGTGTTTTTTTTTCGAAGCTTCTTTTCTTGTTCGTTTTAAACATGCTTCTGATATCAAACTTTCGCCATAGCAAAACCTAACAACTCGTGCAGATCTTCCACGATGAGAGGTTTCTGCACATTTGGACTGTAATTGTTTAAGAAAAAAATCTTTGATCGTGGAAGTTGATGTAGAAATTGGTAATGATGAAGCAGATGATATTGATGTTGAAATGGGAGCATCGTTAACACAAATACTATGAAGTTTAGGCATTGAACATGATCTTGTAAGATGATTAACTGGAATGTAGGTTTCTTTACGGGTAACATGAAACATTGATTAAATAGGCGTGTGTCAATAGCATCTTTGTTAAAAGGAAAAATGCCAGTTTCCTTAAAACCACTTTTGACTTGTTCCATAGTAAAGGAACTCTGAAAGGGTACGTAGAGTACGTAAGGTACGTAAGGGTACGTAGTAACCCTGGAAAATGTTTTTTCAACACTAGTCCATTATGCGTTCTTGCATATTTTATAAGCAAACTTTGCCATTTACTTTTTACAGGTCAAAAAACTGATGTGTCTAAAGGTTGAAGAAGATGGGTAAGATGTGCAGGAATGCGTAGGAGAATAACATTATTTTTTTTTGCTAAATCAATAAGTGAGGAGCTAATATGAGAAATATGGCCATCGAATATAAGCACACGCGGGCGGTTTGAAAGATGCTTTGTATAAATTAGAAATATGTTTCAAAACCATTCTAAAAAATGGGGACACTCCATCCAGCCCTTACTACTGGCAGTATAAACAGCTCCATCAGGTCCACCTTTAACCCAGTCCATATACAAATTTTTTCCTTTGTATATAATATATGGTGGCAATACCTGCCTACTAGCAGAGCATGCACAATTTACAGTAACCTGCTCCCTGCCTGATCCACCAATGCTCTGTGACACACGAGAAGCACCTCGTTTTGCTAATACAATTTGCTCTTTAGGGTCGGTGACAAACCCTGATTTATCAGAATTAAGAAGGTTAATAATTCCTGCTTTTTTTAATGTTTTTTCTACTAAATTAAACCAAATTTTGATAGTTTCAGGACTTTAAGCGTGACTTCTGGAATTACTTAAATGTTCAGTTTTTCTTGGAGTAACTTTAGGATTTCTTTGCAAGAATGCATGCAACCAGTCTTTACTTGGTCGAGAATCTATAAATGGCGTATTAATACTGTTTGTTTTAAGAAAATCTTGTACTATCACACCTAAAATATTTGGATGCCTGGTTTATCGACATTTCTTTATTCAAAACAGAACTGCATGCATCTATCATTTCTTGACTGCTTGAGTAGGATTTTCTACCTCCCTGCTTCAACTTTTTGTATGTTCGAACAATTCTAAGGAGAAAAAATATTATTTTCAAAAATACAATAAAAATTTATTTTTTTACATTAAAAAGTTGGTTGCAATTTTTTTCATACTTTTATAACTATATATTTTGAAATTGATAGCTTATTTAAATTTATTAGAGAGTTTTGCCATTTTTTACTAGTCAGGGAGGGCATTAAGACCTACTTGTTTTAAAATAAAAATTTTATTCTCTAAGTAAACAAATAAACAAAGTTTTTTGCAATAAACATTTCAAATAAGTCTTACCTTTGCTAGGAAAACAAAAAAAATTTTGTGTACAAGGTAATTTTAAAGGTATAAATGTAAAATGTCTACACCTTCTTTAGATGGCTCAATGACTCAACGATTTTTACAGAAATAAATATGAGATTTAAACTATTATTTTTATGTCTAAATGTTACTTAAGTAGAACGCGTAATTTTAAAAATTACTTAATAAACTTAGATACTATTTTACTTTCAAGAAAAATAAAAAACAACAACTTGGAATAGCCTTTTTAATTAAAACTGAGGAGCACCGATTTCGGCAAACTTTTTCATAAACTTCGAACGAAATTAAAAACTGCCGTAAAAACATCGACATTAAAAACCAAATTATTAATAGTAAAAAATCAGTTGTTAGTCCAAGAAATGTTTTAAACTACTCTCTTACGTACTAAGTAAACATATATTATGTAAAACTTAGTAAATTATTATTTATACAATAGCATAAAAGAATTTAAATTTAGCTCTGCTAAAAAAGATCTTAATGCCTCGCTGATCTTATTACCCCGCTTTACCCTATCTTTATCATTTCATACGATATCGGCGCCATTACTGTAACACTAAAGGCGCACATTAAAATAAGGGAAATACGCTTTTATCGAATACCGTAAAGGTGAGTTTCCACTCATCCGTTTTTTCGCAGGAACGGGAAAAGGAAGGGAAAAACAATCACGTGGGCATGCGTATTATAAGTTTTAATTTGTCCCAAGTAAAACTGCGCATGCTCACGTGATTATTTTTTCCTTTCCTATCCCGTTCCTGTTAAAAAAACGGACGAGTGGAAACTCACCATAAAAACGTATTTACTTCCTCTGTTTTTACTTAATTTGGATTTAAGGCATTTGGATTAAAGGCATTTGGATTTAAGTTTACTTAAATCAAGGAATAACTTTTTAATACAGTAAGGAAATTTTTAAGGAAAAACAGGTAAGGAAATTTTTTCCTTAATACCCAAAGAAAGATTTTTTTGAGTGTAGATTATACATCAAATTTTACTTTATTTTCATTTAAAATAAATTAAAATATTTAGTTAATAAAACTTTCAAAATTAAAAACACCATTTGTGGTCATCGTTACGGTATTACCAATTTTTTAAAAATTCTTAAACGTAATATGTAGCCATCTTGAATAATATAAAAAATCCACCGCTTTTACTTAAATTAAGACAATTTTCATGTTTAAAGACCAAACAAAATCTTTGTAATAACAAAAATTTTTAACTCAATTGTATTAGTAAAGTATCTAAATTAACAAAGCGAGGGTTACACGCAATTATTGGTATACGTTGTAAGTCGGTTACCGTAGAATAGGTATTCACTTTGTTAAAACTGTCAAACTCTTTTTCATCTAAAGATAACTATCCGATAGACTTTAAATTATTTATTGTTTACAAATTATTTTAAACAGAATGCAAATCCTATCATATTGGCGAAGCTACTCGCCACTTAAAGACACAAATGATTGAACACTTACATAGAAGGGATAAATGTCTTTTATAAAAAAGCAACTTCACTCAAAAGAAAATGTTTTAATAACTATAGTGAATAATGTATTTTGAGAGCTTGTGGCCCTAGGTACAATTATAAAAATGCTAATTGTACCTAGGGCTACTAATTTTCAAACCCTTTTACATGATAGACTTTTACAATTTAAGCCAATATACCCATGTTAATACAAAGTAATTTGTATAGAGATGTGATCATATCAGTTTCACAATTTTTAGACAAGTCTGGTGCCTTGAATTGGGTATTTAATATATATATATATATATATATATATATATATATATATATATATATATATATATATATATATATATATATATATATATATATATATATATATATTTATATATATATATATGTATGTATCTATATATATATATATATATATATATATATATATATATATATATATATATATATATATATATATATATATATATATATATATATATATATATATATATATATAGAATTCAATAAATACGGCTGCGTATAAACTTTTTTTAAATATATATATATTTTTTCTTTAATATATAACTATTTCGATATTTCGCTGATCTATTGTGATCAGCGTCATCAGGTATAATAAATAAAATAGTTACGAAAATCGTTATAGTAAAAACAAACCGTTATAAAGATAACATTAAAAAGCCAAAATATAATACAGAAAAAAACTTTTCAAATAACGACGTCAGCAGGTTTTATTAAAAAATCGCCCCCAGGTTTTGGTTGTTACGTTATCACCGTCATCCCGATTGAGAACAACGTCACCATTTCTCAACTCCTGTTGAGCCCTAGCCTTGCATATTTCGAGTGACTCTCTGATTTTCCGAGTTCGATATTCTGGGGCTACAGATAATGTTTTGGGGTGCAACCAATCAAACTTACCATGGCATGTTTTAGAATGCTCAGTTGCACCCGAACTGGACCATTTTTCTTTTAAGCTGTTTTTTTGGTGTTCAATACATCTCGATATCACCTTCTTTTTAGTTTCGTTAATGTATATCGAACCGCATGAACATTTTAGCTGGTATACGCCAGGGTCTGCGTTTAGTGGTAGTTAAGTTTTATTGTTGCAGAAAATATTTTTAAAATTGGGAGTTGATGTGAAAATTACCTTTATGTTTTGTTTTCGAAATTCTTTACGAAGTTTTGGACCAAAAATTGGTATCCAAGGTAGTTTTATAAAGGGTTGGGTATCTATTGGTTGAAATGTGGTGTTTTTTGAACATTTCAATATATATATTTTATAATTTAATTTATTCTTAATTTTAATTTTCAGAACTTCAACATAGAAAATTATTTGTCGAATGTTTTTATGAATCTCAAGTACTGTTAAACGACATTTCAAAATTACCATTGGATGTGATAAACAAATGGTTCCAACAGGGTGAAGTTAATAGCAAAGAAATTATAGCAGAAAATTACTTTTCAAAAAATTATACAAACTTAATTGAGCAAATAAAAAGTAACAAAGTGAAAATTCGGATTGAGAAAATTAAAGAAAAAGTTCAAAAAACCATGAATGATGCGATAAGTTTGTATGAGAAAACGCACTTAGATAAAGCAGTGGAGTTATTTAGAGAAGCGGAACAAATATATAAAATATTTTTCGGTAAAAAACATCATGAAACAATTTGTGCTACATACTGGATTGCGGTATGCTTACATGGTAAAAATCAATTTGATAAGGCTGAACAAATATTTAAAAATGTTGAAATTATCCGAACAAGCGTTTTAGGAGAAAAACACGAAAGTACACTAAATACTAAATTCTGGATTGCCAGATGCTTATATAGTAAAAAGCAATATGATGAAGCAAAAAAGTTATTTATGGAGGTAGAAAATGTGCAACAAGCAGTTTTAGGAAATAGGAGTAAAGACACACTAAAATCTAAATATTGGATTGCCATTTGCTCTTTTCAAAAAAAAAAATTTGAAGATGCAATCAAACTATTTTCAAATCTTGAAGCTTTTCAAAAAGAAATTTTAGGCGAGAAACATCTGGATACGATAAATACTAAATATTGGATTGCTAGTTGCCTATATAGTATAAAAAAATTCAAAGACGCATACACATTATTTACAGAAGTAGAAAAAGTACAATCTGAAGTTTTAGGTAAAATGCACCCGGATACTGTAAACACGATATATTGGATAACATCTTGTCAGCACTATGTAAAAAAAAGATGAATTTTCTATTAAATTAATACTTTATTTTTTCTTTGATACTAATAAACAATTTTATTTATTTGATAAAAGTTTTTAAATAAATATGTTTTTATTTTTTATAACAAAATAAACTTTCAAAAAGAACATTACGAAGTATAAACAAAACTTGATATTGTGGGTTTAAAACTAAACTTAGTTAAGAGAATTTTTCATGATTTTTTAAACCTTTTTAAATATTGCAAAATTTTTTAGTCGTTTCAACGAAACTTAAATTGAATATGTATTTAAAACATCTTTAATTTGATGATTTGGTTAATGGTTTTGAGTTTTTAATGATTTGTTTTTTAGTTTTTAATGATTTGTTTTTAGTCATTAATTTGTTGATTTGTTTTCGAGTCTATAATTTAAATTAAAATTCTAAAAAAAGTACACTATCAAAAAAAAAATTAACTTAAAACAAATGTTTTGAGTTAATTTTTTTTTGATAATGTACTTTTTTTAGAGTGTTTTTTTTTTTCTAAGAAACTTTATTTTTTTTTGGAGTTTTTGTATTAGAATACATGTATTTTTCTAAGGAAGTTTAAATAAACATTTTAGTATCTGAAGTTTTTTTTTTAACTTTTCCGTTACCGTAAAAATAAACAAGTAAACAGTATTAGATTTTTGAACAAAACATATAAAATAAAACTGTTTTCTTATTTTGCTCCATGTTCAAACTCAAACATAATTTCACTTCATCAACAAATAAAACAACTGATGGAGATTATTTAAAAGACAGACTAAAAATATTAAACACGAAGTAATCAAATAAATATGTAAGTTAAGTTAGTGCCATCAGTAATCTGATAAACCCATAGAATGTGAAGCAGATTGTAGAAGAAGTTTATACATACGCTTCTTTATTTGTTATCGTTCATAAATTGTGAGGTTAGTATTATTTTGTTTTACCTCCATGTTTTGCAGAACCGAGAAAATCAAGTTCAAAGTTTTAATTGGACCTGCCGACCAAATAACATAAAAAACTCAAACAAAACCGATTTGGATTAATTTCGTAAACAGGCAACCAACAGTTTTAACAAAATTGTATTTAAGTATTTAAAGTGCAGGAGTCTGAATTACTACACTCTAATTTGGAGATAGAACAAAGTAACACACACTTATTTTATAAAATACAGTGTTATTTTGTTCTATCTCGATTTTCTGTTAAAAAATTTAATGCAAACTAGTATTTTTTATATTTATTGTGCAAGATGAATGTATATTTTGGCAATTAAAGTACTGTAAGGTACATATCTGTTTTATTAGAAAAAAAAAATTTATTTTACACTAGTGAACAAATAATATAAACACGCTATTTTGTCTAAAATTCAATTCAGCAAAGAAGATAAGTATTATATTATTTAAAGTATGTACCGAGATCTTCACAACGAAATAAAACTTTAGTTATAAGTTCTAAAAACATAACATCTAAAATACATTGCACAATAAAAAGATATCTTAAAGAATAGTTTGTTAACCAGAACCTTGAATAAGGGTGTTCAAATTTCAAATGATAAAACCAATCATTGGCTTTATCATTTGAAATTAGAACACCAATATTCAAGGCAAAAAATATTAGTACCTCTGCCATGACTAAGGCATGAATCGTAGATTGTTGAACTCATGCTTTTGAACAAATATTTTAACATAATTTTCTGTAGTATACATAATCTATATGTTAAATGCTTTATCTAGATAACTTTTTTTGCAGAGCAGGAATTGCCCTGATTAAACCAAGGGGACTAAATATTTCAACAGGAGCGTGTGCTCTATCAATTTGACTGTGGATGTTATTAATCTCTTGTATACTAGAATTCCCTGGTCTTAAACTTTTGTTAAATTACTCTGATTTTTGGGTAACATATCACAAACTAAAAATCAACAAATATACGTGTATTTTAATATTTAAATTTACAATAATTTAATAGTCTTTTTTTTTGGTTACAGATTTGCATGAAACATTTTCTCCCTTTCTATTTTTATACGGCTGATCAGATTGTCTTAGCTGCTTTCTCACATTCTGTACCCAAGTTTTAGATAGTGACTTTCGTTTCTTAGTTTTTCCTCAATGTAGGAGCAAACAACGAGCTGGTGCTATTTTAGGATTATTATCATGATAACTTAGAACAGTGAGATCTGAATAATATATATATATATATATATATATATATATATATATATATATATATATATATATATATATATATATATATATATACATATATATATATATATATATATATATATATATATATATATATATATATATATATATATATATATATATATATATATATATATATATATATATATATATGTATATATAAATATATATATATATATGTATATATATATACAGTATTGGACAATATTTTGCAACCAACATCGAACAATGCTAAAAAGAGTTCCTAATTTTACATGTCTTACATACAGCAAATACTTCTTACTCTTAATCTTACTACAGCAAATACTTCAGGAGTCTGGAGTCATAGTATGCCATGACATGAGCAATTAGCTGACAGGTGATAGCACACACGCAGAGTTTCGTTGACAATACCATTTTGCAGCGGAAAAAACAAGTGCAACTTTTTTTAACAAGTTTTTTAATAAATAAAGGAAGTATCCAGAAGTTTCCAGAAGCATGCAGAAACTTCCAGAAGTTTCCAGAAAACGCATCTGGAAGCATCTAGAAGCATCCAGAAGTATCCAGAAACATTCAGAAGCATCCAGACGAAGCATCAAGAAGTGAAATACAACAAGTATTTCCAGAAGCTTCTAGAAGCATCAAAAAGAAGCATCTAGAATCTTCTAGAACAGGTTCACACAGGTTCATTTTACTATATAAGAGACATGTAAACCGACATGTAATTCAGTCAGTATATGGAAGTCAATCAGTCAGTTTTATCAAAACAGTTTATCGAAGTAAGTTTTATCAAAGTGTTTTATCGAAGAACATCAATATAAGAAGTGAAATACAACAAGTATTTCATTACATCAATACAGTCCACATCCAACCAAGACGTTGTGTTCCACAGAGCATTATTGTATCATCACAAGATAAGTGTAACACGGTAAGCCTTGATTATTTATTTTTATTATATTTATGACTTCAAGTGCAAAAATGGCTCCCGACAGTCTCGGAATGGAACTAAAAAAGAAAATTATTGGCGATTACGTAAGTGGAATGTCACAAAAAAGTATTTGTGATAAATATTGCGTGAATAAATGGACCGTGTCAAGACTATGTTCCAAATATTGTTCTACGGGGAAGTTGGCAGCAGATAACAAAGGTGAAAGACCGCGTTCCATCACTTCTAAAGAGGATTCTGTGATCGTCAGATCCTTCAAGAAGGATCCCTAGATATCATCAGTCAAGATACAAAAGCAATTAGAGCTGCCTGTATCGGACCGAACAATCAGACGATGTGCTGTTGAAGCCGGATTGTTTTCTCGACGCCCTGCAAAGAAACCGCTGATTTTACTAAAGAACCAGAAAAAAAGACTGAAATGTGTAGAAATAGGGAACCGTCCTGTTCAGTGATGAATCAAAGTTCAAAATTATTGGGAGCGATGGCATTTGCCGTTTGCGAAGACCGGCTGGAAAACGCCGTAACTGCCATAAGACCGTGAAGCATGGTAGAGGCAATGTAATGGTCTGGGATGTGTTTTTCTGCTAACGTTCCAGGTCCAATACATCGAATCAATAGAATAATGGACCGTTTCATGTATAAAAATATCCTGAAAGATGTTATGTTACCTCATGCTGAATGGAATATGCCAATAAAATGGATTTTTCAGCAAGACAACGATCCGAAACACACTGCAAAAGTAGTCAAGCAGTGGTTTTAAGATAACCACCTATCGGTGATGGATTAGCCGCCTCAATTGCCGGATCTCAACCTTATCGAGAACCTGCGGGAGATCGTCAACCGCGGAATTAATCGTGAATGTGTTTGTAATAAAGATCAACTGTTTGAAAAAATCAAGAAGGCCTGGGCAGCAATTCCACAAAGTTTCATCGATCACCTGATGAATCTATACTTCGAAGATGCAAGGCTGTGATCGACAACAAAGGGTTCGCCACGAAATATTGATTGCGAAATTCAGCTTGGTCAACATTTTGTGGAGTTGCACTTGTTTTGTCCAGAGGGAAATCAACTTTTTTTAATACTTTTGATTAATTTATTAAATTTTGTTTACAAATAATGAACTTTGTGATGAATAAAACTGGAAGAACGTAGGGTGGAATGCAAGAAGCAAACTTGAGTCAAGTTCGACTTGAACTTAGTAACCAAAAGCAGCAGAGTATTTTTTTGGGGGGAAAACCCATACTCTATCGCTATTGGCTGCAATCTAAAGTTCAATTCGAGCTTGACTCAAGTTCGCTTCTTGCATTTCACCCGTAGTCTCTAAACAGTTACACAGTTATTTCTCTAAATTGAAAAAATGCATCACTTTTATATAAAGAAACTAAATTAGCATTATTTGGTTGCACTTGTTTTGTCCGATACTGTATATACATAACGAGCGCAACTAAGTTTAAAAAAAAAAATTAGGTTATAGCAAAATTAAAAAACGATTTATATAAGATATCTTTGCAAAAACCAACGCACTATAATAAAATTTTAAAGTGCCATAATAAAGTTTTGAACTACAATTACTATATTCACTATAATAAAATTTTTCACTATACTAAAATTTTTAAGCACTGAACTGCAATTACTTTTATTTTTTTGGGTTTAGTGGCTTTTGTTAAGAGCTTTTAAAATTTGCGTCAAACTATCTCATTTTAACATATTCGTTGTATCATCCATACTGCAGCCGTTTTTCAAAACGCCTTAAGGTAAAAAATATCATTTTTGACTTTTTTACAAAATAAGGTACTTTATATGTCTACAAACGTTATTGAATACATATTTTCAAAGAGTTTTGAAAAAAATCATAAAATTTATTTGTTTTAAAAAACGTTTTACAAAAAGTTTATAAATACATCGTTTGCTCTTAACCATCTCTATTTATTATTTTTTTTGTGTTTTTCTTGAAATACGTAATAAGCATGTTAAGGCGTTTTGAAAAACAGCTACAACA